ATGTTAAGGCTGCAGTGTGACTCCGGTCTTTATTACACGTAAAAGAATCCACAGAGAAAAGCCCCAACTAAGAAGCAAGTTCTCTGGGATCTAATGAGACATTAAATCCTGTTGAAGCTTTCCCGGCAGGTAGGGTACTTGGGCTGCTCTCTCAGGTCTGCAGCCACCAGTAAGAGTCAGATCCAGGGTGAGCCTTGCCCTCAATGCACACGCTCACGGGACCTCCCGCCCGCCTTCCTGTTTCTTTAATTCTGGTCTGCCAGCTTTCACAAAACTTACGGAACCTTCAGATAGCAACACTTGTTTAATTTGCTTGAGATTCAAAACTGGATGTAAAATTTAAAGATAATAACAATGCATTAAAAAATTATTTAGAGAACCATGATCAACTGAAGGCCACAAAAATGAGCGCTGCGCTCAGATGGAGCAGCCCTGCCTCTCCCTCTCATCTTCAGCTGCACACCCCCTGCGTGCTGCCTCTTCCTCTGCTTTCTGTTGCTGCTGGTGTATGTACTGTGTGTGTACAGCGTGCATACAGCGTGCATACAGCATACATACAGCGTACATGCAGTGTGCATAAAATGTACATACAGTGTACATACAGCGTGCATGCAGTGTGCATAGAGCATGCATGCAGTGTACATACAGTGTAGATACTGCGTGCATAGGGTGTGCATACAGGCCCTTAGCAAGCTGGATCTGTCTGAAAACCAGGAAAGAAAAGGTTAGTTTTAACTGGGTTAGTTTGCCTAGTCCCCGTGCAAGATGGGGGCAGAGGTGGCTCTTCTGGCAGCACTGCAGATCTGTATCAGACTGAGTATAAAACCGCCTGAAACCTGACAAGTTTAGTGCTGAATCTGGTACTCCTCCACCTGTTACCCGTGAGGAAGTGGTTTCAGGTAGCGCAGGATGGGTCACGCTGTGTACAATAACACAGTAATTGCTGCTTTCTTTCATGACCTGTCCAGAAAAAACCAGTAAGACTACTGTTGTACTGTTGTTGCTTTCCCTTTTATACAAGTAGAAGAGGAAAAACTAATGAGAGTGCAGAATGAACACCGAGTCTGTCTTTCTAGGGCATTTGTCTGAAAAGAGCAATGAGTGCAATGGTTGATCACTGGGAAGGGCTCACAGCTCACCCAAGGCGAGCACCCCACCCGCTCCCCTGAAGGCTGACGGGCCTGCTTGCACCTCCCCGCAGTGAGCTTACAGAATCGTGTACTTGGACAGTCAGCAGCTTTGACAGCGCAGAGCGAGGACACCCATTAAGAGCAGGCTGCACCAGGGTGGTGTTGAAGTAGTGCTCTGAAACATCTGGCACAGGGGTTGCTCCTCCTCAGGCCAATGTGACTCGCCATACTGTTGCAGGCCAGAATTTTCGGCAACGTGGGAGAAGTTCATCATACAGTAAAGCTCAGTGAGAACTGAGGGCAGACCTGGAGAAGGCCACCGTCACCATTTCCAGATATAAACGTACCCTGTGCTTCGTCAAACGTTGGAAGAAAGGACTTGGTGCTTACCTGGACGCACGGTCTGAGTGCTGTGAGCCCTGAGCAGAAGGAGGCACGCTGGGCCAGCAGTGGGCAGCTCCAGGAGGAGCGGCATTCCCGGGACTTCAGCGCCAGCCTTTCCTACTGACCACTCGAAACGGTTTCTTCTTCTGCCAGGAAGTGCCTCTTCACAGGCGGCACCTTTGCTTTGCCTGGCGACCTGCTTAGGTTTTATGTGCTTGTTGTGGACCCCTTTTTAAGGCACCTAAGTTTTCCCGTGCATTGTCTGGGGAATCTGGACATGAGGCTTGGCTAATGAAGTGCTTCAGTCCTTCTGTGAACCTGGGTCATGGCGATTTTGGTTTTCCCCACATACGGAAGAGTAAAATCATATAACTTTTTAGTAGAAATATTACCGTAATTGAAAATTTATTTTAAGTTTCTAATGTCACCGAGTAGGTACAGTTTATGAAAGCCAAAGTCCTTTTCTGCTACATTAAAAAGAATAAACAAACCCCCCAACATCGCTCCGTTAGAAACACCCCCAGCACGCCCACCCGACTGAAGAGTGCCTGCGCGGAGAATACCGAGCCGACACCTGCGCTCTGCATATTCTCTAGTAACGATCTCAAACACCAGCGTCAATGGGCAAGAAGTTTCTGCAGAAGCCAGAGCGCGCCCCACCTCCACCATCGTGCTCTGAAGGCCAGTAACGAGAGCCGACGCATCGTACAGGATCCCACTCGTTAACAGTAATTCCTTAAGACTTAAAACTAACGCATTAATCACGTTAATGTGAAGGACCTGAAAAGGTAGAACCAGGGATATGCTCTGTAGCAAGCATTACAGTTTTGGGGTGATCCTGAATTACAAAACGAGCCTGTGGGCCGACGGGGGGACGACCCACATCAGCAAAGCCCATGAAGTGCATACCGTGGTTTAGGAGAGCAGAAAACGATGGCGTAGAACAGGAATGTCTCCACACAGGGATTGGTTTGCATTGAGGGTGTGACTCGGAAAGGCGAGTGACTCTAGATGGTTGCTTCTTGAAATCTGGCCCAAAGTGTTTAAGGACCAAAACCATAAATGTTTTACTTAAAGAGCGATGCACTTGTTCACGTTGTGGCAGAACGATCCCTGTGTACTGATCTCGCTATCTTTATACCAGAGGGCAGTAATGCCACCACTCTGAACGCTTCCAGTTAATTATCACCAGCACGTTTTGATAATGGCAATGTGTTTTGCAATATGAACAAAATCGGGGGAAAAAAATACCAACAGTTTAGAAAAAAAAAAAAAAAGAAAAAAGAAAAAGGCCGAACAAACCCTGGGAGCACTGACTTCAACAAATATCCAAGCCACATTTAATAACTTTATGAAACTAGTATCAAAGTAAAGAATATATAGTCAAAATACAGAAATAAAGTTGAGTGAGAGAAAACAGCCTGATGAGCTCAAACAAAAGTTAAACAGAACAGATTAATATGAACAAGTTAGCTGAAAGGTTTGTGTAGCAGTATTTCAGCAATTCCTTTCCTCAATAGCCATCTTAGAAGGAAGAGCTAATCTGAAAGAAAAAAGATATGCATCACTTAAAAATCCTGCTGCATGTGTTACTGTGATTGTTTGTAGAAACAGCATCACCCCAATTTGCAACCTATGTTAATTTCTTACTTAATAAACATACTGGATTTATTTTTTTTTGTAAGAAAACAGAAGTTCAGAAGGAAGTGTCTGCATTCAGGTTTCCATTACACATACATTTACCTTTCTATTGGCTATGAATTCTTTTATTTGTGAACTGCAGATGATTAGCATTTGCTCACACTTCCAAACCTTGTGTTCGGCTAGGTATTCCATCGATACTCCGCTTCTAAAAGTGTCTGATGTAGCACTCGCTAATTACAGGATTTCAAAAGGTAGAATAAGGCTTTCCCCGCTCAGAAATTTGCATTTTTGGTAAAGGTAACAATATATTGGCTTCACTAACACCCTAATAATAGGCATACATTTAATTTTATAACACCATCCTTCCAAAGAAAAAAGAAAGACTAAAAGATGTGTGCAATTGGTTTCTGCTTAGTATAAAATTTTCAATTCAGAACCCATTTTGCTACGATAACACTATGAATTACATATAAACATATGTGGAAAACAATGTGCCAGGCTTTAAAAAAACCCCACTTTGCTTAGCAGATGATGATTCTACAGTGCTATTGCGCACTATCCTGTAAGCCCAGAGACTAATGATAATAATAAAAATAGCAAAAAGGAATTAACCAAACCAGCTTTGATGCAGGTTTGGCATCACGTGTACATTATGGTCTTACACTCAGTATGCTCATGGTATGGTTGAGAAACTTAAAGTACCAGAATTTTCCACATCAGATAGCAGGCAGTTGGTGCTTACATCTCAGACAAGAGAACTAGGGTTTCTTTAATTTGAGACGGGATCAGTCATCTATTGTTAAAATGTCCAAAGTGTGCAATAATAAGGCAGATTTCTTATTACACCACCTCTTAAGATACTCATTGTTTGATGAAACCAACAAGGTGCTTTAAAACAGCAGAGTAACAGGATACAAACCAGTGCCAGAATGAAGGAAAACTGCTAAAATGGGAACTGCTCTTTCTTTCACAATAAGAAATAAAGAACTTTTGTAACTGGTGTTTGAAAGGTTTTTTTAACAGCTGATATTCAATATCAGCTGATTCCTGAAGTGTTGGCAAGATACCAGGTTTCTGGTACTGGCCATTTCTAATGTTATTTAAATATTCACATCATGCAATAAGCAGTTTCACACACTGCAATGTAATGGAAAATACTTCCTAAACCGAACCAGAACTGAGACCCAAAGCAGAACCAGTAAATAAATATCTTGCATATATGTCAAACTATATTCTTCAAACAAAACCTTACATCTTATCAAAGAAGTCAGAAAGTACTAACAAAAATTATATGCTTTCTACTGTAATACTGTTAAATTTCCATGGCTGAGAATGTCCTGGTAATTTTTTTTCTGCCTTTTTAAATTAGCTGACCGAGTAGAAATTCAAACACAGAAATAAAATGCATATATATGAGAGCACTGGCTCAGTGAGATATCAAATATACAGCATTCTAGTGTCAAAAGTACAGGCAGAAATGTCCAAGATTTCTTGGTGAAAAAGGGGCATTTGAGGAGTAAAAATTCTACTTAACAATCACTCACATTTTAACAGTGCATTAATTATAACAAAAGCTGGATGATAAGTGAGCAACAGAGTCATAATGTTCAGTGTTCATAGCAGAATTGTATCCTCTGGTCATTTAAATGAGGTTGGAAACATATACTCATGTACGTGAAACTTTAAGTAGCTATGTTTTTTCAATTTTTCAGGATTCTTGCAAGAGGCAAAATTGTGACACTGAGTTGGATGATAGTACAAGGTGGCGCTGACAGAAGTCTTCCTTTCGATGCTGTGCCTCTGGCTTGTCCAAGGATGTTTAGTCCTACGACCTTGTTCGAGCTATTCTTTTGCCTCTAGGAAAAGGGTTTCTTGAGGGTACAGTTTTACCTCCAGTAACGATTTATTTGGATCCAGCTGGGTCACCTGGAAAGAGAGGAACAGGAGGATATGTGTAAGTAGACTTTTTTTGAACTGTTTATCTTCACAGGGCAGATCATTTTGAGTCCCTCCATCTGTGATAACTGAAGTTGTGAGTCCGAATTCCCAGGATGCAGATTAAGAAGCAGATATTGGGGTTTGTGCGCAAATATTCCATAATAACAATTAACAGAATTATAGACAGAATCCACAACATTAATTCCAAGGTGGTCCGGTTTTCTACCATAAACCAGCGAATATATGTTTTTGTCAAGGTTAACATCTTGGGGAAGGATTACTAGGATGCGTAAGATGAAAAATAAAACTGTAGTCCCAGAGAAGCATCCTCAGGTTTCAAACTGCCTTTATCTTCCTCATCCCTTTCTTGCTCCCAGTCACGTCGCGAAGCAGCTTTCATGCGTAAGATGAAAAATAAAACTGTAGTCCCAGAGAAGCATCCTCAGGTTTCAAACTGCCTTTTATCTTCCTTGTCCCTTTCTTGCTCCCAGTCACATCGCGAAGCAGCTAACTTTCGCTCGCTTCGACGCTCCTCAGCCATCTCAACGAACCTAGGCTGGGAGAAAACTGCCCGCTTCTCTTTGTTTGGTGATTTTCCTGTCACGCTGGTGAGTTCAACTGGTGAACACACAAGTCCAGTCAACACCAAACCCAGCGCAGGGTAAGTAAGTGGCAAAAGCACTAAGCAGTGAGTAGGAGGGAGGAAGCAGGGTCCTCCCCCTTTCATTGGGAGTGAGATGCTGAATCAGCTCACCATATGGTGAGGCTGCATCTCAGCCCAGCTACTGAAGCACATTATGGGTGTGTGTATATGTGTATGTACATGTGCATTATAAGTGCTAAGTGTCTCCCTGTCATTTATGTAGACACTTAGCATGTATACATTTGTATTATAGGATCATTCCCTGGAAACCCGACCCCTCACTGGCAATCACTTGTGCAGGTGGGCACACAGAAGAATGCCAGCGAGAGTCAAATGCCATGCAATTTGGAGAATAATGACACAGGCACTAGCTGCACCATTACTGCCAACAATCTTCAGCATTTGGATCTTGGCACCCTCCGAACCCTGTAAGCTCCTCCACACCCCAACTATCCCATGACCAACTTTCAGGCACATAAGCAATTCTCAGTTTAGTCAGCAACAAACTTCTGTGTTGAGGATTCCATTTAGAAGCTAGACCAAATCTTTCCTCTGGAAATAAAATTTAATGGTAAATATTCCATAACATAACTATGCATATAGACAGAATAACGACAACAAGGGTCCTGGTGTCCTTCAGACATGCAGGTTTACATGCCACCGCTGCTTCAGAAAACTCCTGCAAAGCTTCACACAGAAAGATGAACGTTGTTTCTTTTCATCTTACAATGTTCTGAGATACTTCACTTCCACCTTTAAAGTTGTTTTCCCTGGTAATTGTGTTCCAGTTTATTCTGCCGTGTCAGCACACTAGTTACCAGAAGTTTGCTTGTGACTAACAGAGTATAAGTCTTACACTGCAGGTATAAACACAAATGCACACCAATAAACAGTGCTGCCAAGGTCAAATTTACTTTATCTAACATCATTCCATGCCACTGCTTTCTACATTTACTTCTGGCAAACATTAAGTCCCAAGCACACCAAATACCAGGAATTAGTAAGAAACGCTAGATGCGGGGGTTTTCTTAAAAGCGTAACTTCCCAATCTTGTTAGCAATTCACAAAACCAGTATTGCTCCTCTTTCTCTCCCCCCTCCAGCTAAATCAGGCAAGCTTAAAATATATTTGTATTTCCATTGCTTTAGTAGGTAATTACAGAAAATTCATATATTAAAAGCTTATTGCTTCCTAAGTCCATTGAAATAAATATAATTTCACCTCTGTGACTACAACAGAATTTAAAAAAATTAACAGAATTAAAAAAAAACCACCCCAAGAGGTGCATTATTTTGATTTCCAAAGCAGGAACATATTTTCTTAAACCTATTGTACCCTGGGGAGCTATTGACAAACGTCTAAAGAGAAAAATAACTCATAAAAACCAGACTCAATTTTAGATT